AACTGTACAATGGCCAGTTAAATGTTTATGATTTCGATCTTAAATACAAATGTCATCAGTATAAAAAAATAATAGAATATGAAAAATATTGAAAATTCAGTTTAATTGGTACTAAATAATTATACCCCTACGAAATTAAGCTAAAATTCATGCAAGTTCTCAAACACGGAAAACAAATTTAATCCTAATGTCGTAATAAACCAAAACCATTAATTAATACGAAATACAGTCATCAACCATCGTAACTTTCATAACTAATTCATAGATTTCAAATTAAATGTTCGTCGTTGAACCGTCCAACTTACGTGTACAAATATGATGACATAGACTAAGTTTTTATCTAGGCCTAAGCATTTAAGGTTTACCAAAGCATTGTAGTCCTATTAAATAGTTGCCTAATTCTAAAATGTGTTGGATTTTTTTGCAATAATGTTACATGTTTTAAAACAGTTTTTAGATTGTACACCTAAGCATCACTAGTAAATAATAGGAGAAGATATAATATTCATATAATAAAACGTGACAGGGTTATTTTAATTCACGATTCTTAATAAACGAATTGACGGATTTTCCTGATTTGAGTGTTGGGTTTCCTTTATATTGCTTTCACAATCGATATAAACTATACCAAGCCATTGCTCGGTTCACCGTTCCCGGGTACTGAGCTACACAATAGACAATAGCTTTGTTTTTGGATAAGATCAAGTAATTTTAGCTATGGCCACCATTCATAAGCATTGTAACAAACAAGAACACCTGGGAAAAACTCCAGACTTTTAAAAAGTAGGCCTACTGAAAGACGTAAAATTAATATTAATTCAACAAAATTAAGAGGACGACCCGGGTTCTACACTAATAGCCTTCGATAAAAGAAATTTACAAGTTGTATTGATGCATAGACTAATTTTTAAAGCAAATCCATGAATACATTAGGCCTACCACTTTATAATGTATTGATAAATATTTATTTAAATTCAATAGCTCTATTTAAAAATACATTACCACTACAATGTAATTCTGTAATGACGTTTAATGTGTAAACTTTATTATGATTTATGATTCAACGTTACAAGCCCAGTATATAAAATACGAACTCAATAATTTTATTTGCAGAAGTTCACAAAATGGTATTTATTCGAATAAAAGAAACAAACGGGGGACTACGAAAATAGATATTTCATAACATGTAATAGATCCAAATTAAATGTGCATTTTTATATTTTTGCATACCAATAAGCTACTATTTAAGTAAGAAACCCACATATAAAACATACTCCCTTATATTAGTACATTTCTCATCCTTATGGATCAGCTGAAGACAGTTTTATTGTTAGTTCTGTCCGGTGCACTATCTTTAGAGGTCATGTTTTGTTTACAATTATTTCTTGTTTTCAGTCATTTAAAGTCTCGTTTAACCAAATAAAACGTTCTAATCACAACTAATAACACGTCCCCTAGTTATATAACCAAACAGTAAAGAACAAATCATGAAGTTAACTATAAAATAATAGAAACGCAATTTTGTCGACACTAGCGATCAGTGTCACCGGACATGAACTAGACACGAAAAACGAGCTTCAAAGTTTACAATGGGATGTAAAGTTTACTTGTGTTGGTAAGTCTATGGTAAGACTATAATGCATTTTCCACCCTAATAATCATAAGAATAATGTTAAACATACTTCTAAATATATTCATTTTATCGACTACGTTGCTCTTACTCCTAACTAATCGTAGGATACGACATTATGGTACCGATACGATATAGGTACTACACTTTCGGCAACACTGGCCAAGAATATTCGTGCTTGGCTCCCATTGGACGGCCCGCGAGGCTTCTGATTGGGAGTTAGCGAGTTCCGCCGAGGGACCGAGTTAGCGACTTCCGTACGAGGACAGAATTTGCTAACCCGGCTCTAGAGTGGGTTAGCGGATTCCGGAGTTAGCCAATTCCGAAACCGAACAAGTTAGCGAGTTCCTCTCATCGACCAAATTTGAAGATAGGGCGTTTAATATGGGGCTAGCGAGTTCCAGAGTTAACCAATTTCGCGGACCCATACCATCACAAGTATCCAAATAACACCCAACATCTTTAACTCTCCGAGTGTTAAGCGTCGCGTAATCGACGCACAACACACCCGCCGTGGTGTTATGCGTCGCTTTTGCGACACACAAACATCGTTTACGGCGAAGGCTCAAGGACTGACTGAATCAGATTGAACTGGATCGAGATTGGTATCGTTGTTTTCGGCAGATTCTAAGCTTTCTCCTGATGTCTGTTTCTAGACGCTTTTCATTTTAGTTCCGAAAATATTGTAGCAGACAGCTGACGTGTGTATTTATGTAAACAACTTGGTTAACCTTGCACCAATGACTGATGTGTTTTATTACGTTTATCATTGTTTTAGTGTTAAAAATAAAAAGTAGTGATATACGTGGTGCATTATAAGAAGATTTAAGTGATTTTGAAGGGCTGGTTGATGATCCTGAAGAAGTAGGTAGTGATATTGATGTAAATTATCTGCCAGATTCCTTGCTATGGTTAGGCTATGCATTCTTAGCTAAACGCTAAATGTATGAAATCTGTTTTTCACCCATAACTTATTTATTTGCAAATTTACTTCCTTATATTACTATTTTTTTGTAATCCTTATAAAATTTAGAACAAAGTGGCTATTTTAAAATATTTGTAGACGCATAAATTATAAAAATTTATTGAGCGCAAACATACATTTTTTTCACTTATTTTATAATTTTTGAGAAATGTCAACCTCACAAAAATTGTTTAAATTTTTTTTTGTAATTTTTTATATATTACATTGAAGCCCATAATTTCCCAATCAAAATGATATATAAAACAGTATACTTTACAGTGTTTTTCAGTTTCTAAGATAAATTTTAATAAAACCCTGCGATTGCGCAATAAATGGGCCGACATTAATACCATTACTATGGACACTTGGAGGGTTAACCCAACATTTTTAACTAGTTGAGTAAATTGTTAAGTCTGTTTCAAAACAAGAAGTTCAATATAGTATCAAATAAAAATCTCTATAGGCATTTTGGTGAGTATACTTTCAACATAACATAATGCTTACTCTACACTTGACATAAATACTGGACTGCCAAAGCCTCTTGCATCTAGAGTGAAGGAATACTGTTCAACTGAGACAAGAGGATCATTAAGGTCACAAAGGACTATAGCATCTAGAGTGAAGGAATGCTGTTCAACTGAGACAAGAGGATCAATAAGGTCACAAAGGACTATAGCATCTAGAGTGAAGGAATGCTGTTCAACTGAGACAAGAGGATCAATAAGGTCACAAAGGACTATAGCATCTAGAGTGAAGGAATGCTGTTCAACTGAGACAAGAGGATCAATAAGGTCACAAAGGACTATTGCATCTAGAGTGAAGGAATACTGTTCAACAAGAGGACTGAGACAAGAGGATAATTAAGGTCACAAAGGACTATAGCATCTAGAGTGAAGGAATACTGTTCAACAAGAGGACTGAGACAAGAGGATAATTAAGGTCACAAAGGACTATTGCATCTAGAGTGAAGGATACTGTTCAACTGAGACAAGAGGATCATTAAGGTCACAAAGGACTATTGCATCTAGAGTGAAGGATACTGTTCAACTGAGACAAGAGGATCATTAAGGTCACAAAGGACTATTGCATCTAGAGTGAAGGATACTGTTCAACTGAGACAAGAGGATCATTAAGGTCACAAAGGACTATTGCATCTAGAGTGAAGGATACTGTTCAACTGAGACAAGAGGATCATTAAGGTCACAAAGGACTATTGCATCTAGAGTGAAGGATACTGTTCAACTGAGACAAGAGGATCATTAAGGTCACAAAGGACTATTGCATCTAGAGTGAAGGATACTGTTCAACTGAGACAAGAGGATCATTAACCCTTTCAGTGCTATGAAACGATATATCGTTGTTTTAAAAAATCTCTAAGAGATATAGAGAGGAAGGTTATTTTAACAAAAAGTAGCAAAGCGGCCATTGGTGACCTGCATGTTCATAGGATACACTAACAACCACTTAGCTAAAAGATTTACCCAATCCGATGATTTCGAGGTGTATGTCTAAACCAAGGAATATGAACACAACACTATGCCCCAGTGGTTGTAGTATATCGCTACAAACACACAGGTCACCAATTATTTGCCACACAGGACGGGAATCGAACCCGAGCAGACGAATGCTACTGGCCAAGTGACACACGCCCTAGCCTTCTCAGCTATCTGTGCTTGAAGACTGAAGGGTCAAAAACTGGTATTAAAGCTGACGCCACCGATTGCAAACAGATAGCGCTACAGATGGTTGTTCAATGCGTTACTAGGTAGCAGCACTAGTTAGTCACGGACTATTTAGATGATATTTTTCAGTTGAAACAACAGTGATCATAAATGTGTTCCTGAGACTTTGCTGCAAAACATTATTTTCCCTAAAATGGCTATATAACGATAACCTCGTCCAACTAAATCAAAGTTCAATTCAATATTACATTGTAAACTATATGTCTTTTGATTTTGTGAGATTTTGGTTTCAACCAATGCTATCAGAACATAAAAATTTATAGGAAAATCGGAAAATTACAACAAAAACTAAGTTTTATTTAATGTTTACTTCAAATACCGGGATTTATCTTTGTTATATATTTTCTTACCGTCTTATTATTCAAAATTAGCCTAATTAATAAAATAGTGACAACATTACAGTTAAAATTCAACAACAGGTAATGGAATTGAAAGGCAAACAAAAAGTCTTACGAAATACAAATTATTGGCTAGCACTGAAAGGGTTAAGGTCACAAAGGACTATTGCATCTAGAGTGAAGGATACTGTTCAACTGAGATAAGAGGATCATTAAGGTCACAAAGGAATGAATCATGCACTCAAACTAGAGTATTGTGTTGATAAATGTATAAACGGAAAGTAAATAAAAGAAACGTCTTATAACACTTAAAACATATATTTACGCTTATACTGCTACTCACAAGACGGTAAATATACAAAACAGATGGTAAGTGGTGATTGATTTCGATTGGACACTCCAATCATCATCAGACCCAATAGGCGAATGACAAGAATCTTAATGGCGTCCCTACTTATACCCTATTACAATTTTGAAACAATGTTTCAAAATTGTTAGCAAGTAACAATGTTTCAAAATTGTTAGCAAGAAACAATGTTTCAAAATTGTTAGCAAGTAAGCTCAGAAATGATTTAGAATTAGAATATGTATACAATGTAAAGAATAGTTATGAATTTGTTGAACGTGTAAAGAACATAGATATAAATTCGAAAAGTAGGCTAGTCTCATTTGATATCGCAAATCTGTACACCAACATACCTGTATCTGAAACTGTAGATCTTGTTAAATGTAGGCTTTTACAGAATAGTTTAGACGATGAATATGTCAATCAGATTGTAAAATTGCTTGTGACTGTTTTGAAACAAAATTATTTTAGATTTAACAATAGATTTTACGAACAAACAGATGGTTTAGCTATGGGAAGTCCACTTTCGGCAATTTTGTCAGAAATATTTTTACAGCATCAGGAAAAAGAAATGTTAAAGAATTTAAGAAAGAATCATGATGTAAAACTGTATGTTAGATATGTAGACGACATTCTTGTTATCTTCAGACAAGCCCAGGAGCAAGAGCACGAAACGATGATGCAGACACTAAACAGCCACCACCCAAACCTCACCTTTACCAACGAGTTTGAAGAAAACAAAAAGATCAACTTCCTGGACCTCACATTAGAGAGAAAAGACAGCAAGATAGAGTTTGACATCTACAGGAAACCTACGCAAACGGACACTACAATCAACAGCAAGTCTATCCATCCGACAATCCATAAGACCGCAGCCTTTAGATCTATGCTGTACCGTGCCTATAAGATCCCACTTAGCCAAGCCAATAGGAAGAAAGAGCTGGACACCATTAAGAAGATCGCTCAAGTTAATGGATTTCGAACCAAGACGATAGAGGACATCGCAAGGAAGACGAGGAGGAAAATCGAAAGGCAGAATACACTACACAGCAGAACAACATTAGAAGAGATAAAAGAGGAAAACACCAGATATATCACATTTAGCTACACGGGGACTACAACACAAAGGACTGCTAACAGATTCAAGAAATACGGAGTTCCAATAGCCTACATGACTCAGAACACCATGAGTAAGATACTGCATCCGAAAATAGAAGGTTTCAACTAGGGATGGACGAGATTGGATTTTTAGTTTGAGACGAGACGAGACGAGATTTTTTATTTCTCATAAAATTTCGAGACGAGATCGAGACGGGATTTCCCTTCTCATTCACAACGGGAAATGCATTTTATAAAATAGTTACTTGTTTTGACTTTTTATAGTAATAAAACATTCCTCACACTGCTTACACTTAAAAAAACTTCTCAAATGTTATTAAAGTAATATTATTAAAATAATTAAAGTAATATTTACATTTAAAGAATTAATTAAATAAGAACGCCTTCGCAAAGGAAACGCAACTACAACACGCTCCTGTATTGCGGGTATTGACTTTGTGCAGGCGTTTTTAATTTTTTTTTTTTTTTTTTTTATTCTCGTCTCGATAAAAATCTCGGCCAAAAAGAAATCTTGTCTCGTGTAACGAGATTTAAAATTTCCCGAAAATTTCCCGAAATTTCGAGACTTGACCATCCCTAATTTCAACAAATTCGACGCTTCGGGCATCTATAAAATCAATTGTAACGATTGTGATAACTTCTACATTGGACAGACTGTGAACTTCATTAACCGCTTCAAAAACCACATATCTGCTTGGAGGAACAACAAACCGGAAAGATCAAATGTCGCACAACACCTGTTACAAAATGGCCACTCACTAGGAAAAATTGAGGATAGTCTAGATATTTTAAAGAATTGTAAGAAAGGATATGTAATGAATACTTGGGAAGAATTGTATATTTATAAGGAAAAATGTAAAAATAGAAATAAGTTGATTAATGAACAAATACATTTTGATTCCAGTTGTACTTATAAAAATGTATTGGCCGGTGCTTCCGGTAGCCAATAGGGTATAAGTAGGGATGCCATTAAGATTCTTGTCATTCGCCTATTGGGTCTGATGATGATTGGAGTGTCCAATCGAAATCGACCACCACTTACCATCTGTTTTGTATATTTACCGTCTTGTGAGTAGCAGTATAAGCGTAAATATATGTTTTAAGTGTTATAAGACGTTTCTTTTATTTACTTTCCGTAAATTTAATAACACGTACAATGCTGATCAAGAAGTTATTTAAATGTATAAACATCAAAGTTTTATTGGTTCTTCTGCCTCTTCCTTTTGTATAATTATCAGTTTATTATTTTTTCACAGCAATCAGCAGGACAACAACTGGTCAAATTTAGCAATGTGATATTCTAGACACAAAATACCCTGAGCTGTGGAAAGCATGTTGTGAAAAATTAACAACAGTCAAAGAACTATTTGCAGCAGTAAAGTACATGTTAGGCCTAGATGGCAAAAATAATATGTTTCATTACAGATTTATATTATTGAACATTTCTCATTAAATTTCAAACTTTATATTGGTTGTACCTATTAACACTTGTTTACATAAAAATATGTTCTATAGAAACTACATATTTGTTAACTGTTGGGTTCTTTGAATGAGCTATGATAAAGAATTATTCTTTCGCTAAATACAATATTTAAATACCAAATTGGAAGGTAAAAAATTTTAAAATGTGAATTTTAAACTAGGTTTAAGGTTTAATTGACTGGAAGGTCTTTGATAATGCTGCATAAAGGTATTAGGTACCATTGTCTCAAAATCACTGAAGAACCAGACTTATTGATAAAGCCAAAAATAAAGAGGTGACCAAGCTGAAAAGACAACAATAACTACGGGTAACACAAAATAAAGAGATTTGAGGTTTCTTTTTATGAGATTAACTAACTGTTATGGAGTTATAGTTTGAACGGCTGAACCAGCAAAAATATGTTGGTAATCCAATATTGTAATTTGTCAAACACAGTACCTATTGTAAAGGAACATTTTAGGAGGAAAATTGGAAAATCAATTAAATAAACCTTTAAATACTCTGTGCTCCTGATGATAAAACTCAAATTTAAACAAATAAACCAAATACTTTTAGGTAATTTAGGGATAGCAATCTAATTATTGATCTAAAGCTACTATGCAGTAAGGCATGGTCACGGTGTGTATGGTGGAGGGGGTAAGGGTAGATTGTTCATCCCCACAGAGAACGTCTCTAGTCCGTCCCAGTCCTCCACCAACCTGGAGTGTCTCGGGCCCTCCTCTACCTCTGTACTCTGCAACTGCAGCAAGTTACACGCTGTCGCAAGGATGGAGAATGAACCTGTTGAGCACAGCTTGTAAGGCAGGTATAACAGTTTTTTATTATTTTTCATTGTTTTTTGTTCATCAAAAGTGGAGTTATGTATTAAAATCCATTATTATAATTTTGAAAACCTTCATTTAGGAAAATTTAAACACTACCTAAACTAAACCAAAGAATCAACACCTAACACTTAACGTGCAAAGAGGGAAACAGAGAAGTCTCACTGATCAAATAAAAAAAATGTGTTTGAATTGACATAACAAAAGTGTCTTCACCAGAATCTACGAGCGCTGCAGTTACTGTGAACTAAGTACATTTCCCTTGTACAGGTCAGCTTGTAGATGATCAGCAACAGTGCAGTGACACCTACATCTGGACTAGCCTGCCAGCCAGGAGCAACAATCATTTCCATAAAGAAGCATTTATTTTTTAAACAAATACTGCTTGGCAATGAACATACAAGAAATAATCACTGTGCGGCTGTGATATTAGACCATGCAGTATATTTTTGTAAAACTGTCTGTTTATTTTCATGTAGGCTATGTGCTTTTAAAATTTTTTGACGACCTAGGAGCAACAACCACTTGTCTTGGGCTTGATAATGACACTTTAAGATTATCGAAACCCGTCGCCATTTATAAGGCCAAGGATTACATTGGCAACAAAATATTTAACCTCTTGTATATTAAGCTTCTTTCGAAGCCTGGATAAAATTCCTCTTTATCAGTTGTCTTGTATAGACAGTCACTCTTTCTTTATTCAAACTTAAATTCATATTTAACTGCAACAAGTTAATATATAACCAAATTGTCCCTATATTTAGAAAAGGTCAATTTAGTTATTAGCAAACAAATAAATGTACTCTTATTGATAAAAATAATCTAGAAATAAGCTATCTTCATACCTGCAGCTGTAATGACATAACAACCGTAGTCATAAGTAATCTGCATGTCTGTCAGAATATTCATTTCTAATATTGATTCTTCTACAGATCTCGTGACAAAGTAGCTGGTCCCAATCATAGTGATTACGATGAATACTGTGAAAGAATAAATGGTTAATAAAACTAAAAACTTCTTTAATCACCATATTAGGAGATTGAAAATTTACACAAAGTAGAAATAAAGTTATCTAATAATACCACTTATGGAACCATTTTAGCGAATTTCCCTATAGGGAAGTAGCTATTACCATAGGTGGCATGGTAAGACCTAGGCCTGGGACCGATTTACTTTTTCATTTTGATGTCCCCAGAGGCCAAAAACACCATTCGTTCAAATTTTTATATATGTACAAGGGGGTACCCAAAAGTTCCCGGAATAGCTCTGCCGTGGGCGGAGCTTGCGTAGTACAAATTCTCGCCGCTTGGCTCATGTAGCGCTGCTTATAGCCAGTTCGGTGCCGCCTGTTGCATTGACCTGACGTGTTCTGTCCCTGTGCAGTAATAGTTTTTGCTAGTGCTGTTTTGTGATTTTGTTGTTTTTACAATGGCAAGTTTGAGTGAACAAAAAAGTTTTTTTTTCTACTTGGCAAAAACACCGCTGAAACAGTTGAAATGTTGAAGACAGCCTACAAAGACGACGCTATGGGGAAAACCCAAGTGTACGAGTGGTTTTCTCGGTTTAATAATGGTGACATGTCAATTCAGGACAAACCTCTTTCTGGACGACCGTCGACTTCACGAACAGACGAAAATCTTTGTGAAAGTGAAAGAAATTGTGCTTGCAGACCGACGACAGACTATCGAGCAAATATCAGAGGCTAGTGGGCTATCATGGAGCTCAGTTCAACGGATTTTAACCGAAGATTTGAACATGAAAAGGGTTGCCGCCAAGTTTGTGCCTCGTGCTCTCACTGAATTTCAAAAGTAACGTCAAATTGAAGCCTGCCGTGATTTGAAACAGCAACTTGAAGCCGATCCAGATTTTTGTCCAAAATAATTACAGGTGACGAATCTTGGTGCTATGGGTACGACCCTGAAACCAAACAACAATCCAGCCAATGGAAGACAGCATCATCACCCAGACCAAAAAATGCCGTCAAGTCAGATCGAGTGTTGTAACAATTCAATATTTTCACCAATGAATATTTTTTTAATAGAATAATTTAATTTCCACCATATGTTTTTCATTTTATCTAAATGTCAATCCCTTTTCAAACCATATATAGTAATTAATTGTCTATGCAGACCAATAGGTAATCAATTTAATACAATACAGGGTGAGTTTCTACTGACCGTGTTAACTTCGCCAGTGGGTTCTACTCACTAAAAGGAACAAAAAAGTTCCTATAAACCCATGTCCGATTTTCGACCGTTTGGCTGTTTTGGGGGATTTTGTGTTTTTCTTATTTTATTAGACTTTGCTCCACAATTTATGTAATAAAAACTTAACCAATTACTTTAGAGAGTTATAGTTAAAATCATTGGAAAGAACATTAAATTTGCTATAAATCAAAGGTTTCATTCAACAATTATACCATTACATAGTCCACGTTATAACCAAAATAAAGTAAAAATGTCATTAAATTAATTAATTACGATAATTTTCATGGCCCTCCTTTGATACATAAACCTGCATTTATGCAATGTTGAAATGCATAAAAAACTTGGCATTTTAATAATCTTTCAAATGATATGCTATTCAATACTATTATTGATATAAACCAGTGAGAAATTACTAATAAACTACAATAAAACACGGTTTACAGATTTTGTTTTTTCACAGTTTTACTGTAAATAATAATTACTGTATACTCCATGGTGTATTTTATTGAACTATCTGATAAAATTTGTACATTATTTTAACTTTTAAATATTTATTAAAATTATATGAATTAATAAAATGTATAAACTCAAGGTTTTTCACATTTTCAAAGATGTAGTGTGTTTGATTCTTAAATGCTGTGTAATTAGTTTTACCTTGTGCTTGATTCAGTCAGCTTTTATTGATTTGTCATCTATAGCTAGATAACTCAGCTGCTTGAACATACCTTGTTGAGTAATTTGCTGTTTTAACTTTATATTTCCAAGTCAATTAAGAGTTTTTCAACATTTATTAAAATATGGAGCCTTTTACCAATCAAGATTATGCCAACATGATGAATACAGTAATTATTATTAACAGTAAAACTGTGCAAAAACAAAATCTGTAAACCGTGTTTTATTGTAGTTTATTAGTAATTTCTCACTGGTTTATATCAATAATAGTATTGAATAGCATATCATTTGAAAGATTATTAAAATGCCAAGTTTTTTATGCATTTCAACATTGCATAAATGCAGGTTTATGTATCAAAGGAGGCTCATGAAAGTTATCGTAATTAATTAATTTAATGACATTTTTACTTTATTTTGGATATAACGTGGACTATGTAATGGTATAATTGTTGAATGAAACCTTTGATTTATAGCAAATTTAATGTTCTTTCCAATGATTTTAACTACAACTCTCTAAAGTAATTGATTAAGTTTTTATTACATAAATTGTGGAGCAAAGTCTAATAAAATAAGAAAAACACAAAATCCCCTATTACAGCCAAAAGGTTAAAAATCGGACATGGGTTTACAGGAACTTTTTTGTTCCTTTTAGTGAGTAGAACCCACTGGCGAAGTTAACACGGTCAGTAGAAACTCACCCTGTATAATATAGAAATTTTCAAATAACATAATATCATATAAATATAATACCCTATAACTTTTGTAACAAAATTGCTTCAAATTCAATATCATTTTATTTAAATAACTTTTCAAAATTATAATTTAGCTCTCTAGCAAATGAAATTTGTTATAATATATGTGTGAACAGTGGCCTATAATTTTATATTATTAAGTCAGCCTTGACATGTGTGAGTGCAACAATACATCAGACCATCATCACTTCCAATAGAACGAAGATAGTATGCAGATGTAAACTGAATACTCCATATTTAAGCCGGGTTTACACGATGCCAGTTGGCGAGACAATTGTCTTTGCCAATTGGCATCACGTGGTTTTGGAATTGTCGTAGGCCAGGCAAGTTGAACGAGAACCTGTTCACACGTGGCCAACACTTGCCCAGGCATTTTACAGTGAACCAGGGTACTACTGCTAAAAGACAAGACAGTGCTATTGGCCTCTACACCGCTTACACGGCGCCAATTGTCATGACAACTGGGTTTTTGAGGGGTGGGGGGCTCGCTGGGCCCAGCTCATTGTCCTCAGTCTACTCCCGGAGACAACTGAATTTCGGGACAGTTGGCGGGCCAATTGGCTTGCCAATTGGCCTGAAGTGTTTACTCGAAGCCAGTAATTCCAAGCCAGTCAGTTGTCTCCTGACAATTGTCTCGCCAACTGGCATCGTGTAAACCCGGCTTTAATATCAAAATTTTATAAAAAAAAGTACATTATTCGGACAAAATTAGTGGAATTTGTTGAAAGAAGACCCATCCTTGTTACGAACATTCATCATTTATAACATCAAGAACTTTACTTCAAAGAAGACATCAATTTTGGTGAGATTACTCCAATAGACATTTTTCCCTTTGGAAGCCATTAAAACATTTTTAGGCCTAACTTTTGGACATTTGTACTCAAATTCAAAGTCAAGAACTAATAGAAGCTTAACTTATTCAAAACTATTATTAATTCAACCAATCTATAATTCGAACATACTTTATATTTTAAAACAAAATTTAATTAGGCTTATATCACAAGATTAAATTCAAATGCCGCTCGATCACCCCCCCTGAGATAAAGATCCTTGCAGTGAATTATAACATTGAACCTAAATAATTAAAACCATTGTAATAGGCCTAGCCTAAAGATTTTAAAGTAAATTCATTTCCCACTGTTTGTACAATTTATTGTGAACCCCCTTTCTTTTCTTTCACTATCAGTTTTGTATAATAATTAATAAATTTAAGTTTCGAAATTGTACATGGAGTTTCCATTGTAGACCTAAGTTAAAGGTTGATTACAGTGTCAAAACAATGCTCATTTGTTTTTTTGATGTGAAGGGGATTGTCCATTCAGAATTTGTTCCACCAGGCCAGACAGTAAATCAAGTGTTTTATCTTGAAGTCTTAAGAAGACTACGGAACAGCATCCGTCGCAAAAGACCTGATTTGTGGCAAACAGGGGACTGGTTTTTTCACCACGACAACGCGCATGCGCACACGGCAATCTCTGTTGCCCAGTTTTTGGTTAAAATGGCATGGTAAAGCTACCACACGCACCCTACTCATAATAATAAGTCTCATTGGTGGAATCATTGCGTACGGTGCTATTAGTGTTCCATTGTGTGAGTTTGTCACGTTAAACCTTATAGATTATAGCGTTTTGTGATTTGTTATTAGTTGCATGTTGTATCATGACTTGACTGCTATTCGGTGCATATTTTTTGACTACTACCCTCTGTAGTGTATTCCAACTTAGGTTGGGCGTTTGTGTATTGTTAGTTGTAATGTGTTAGTTAAGTTTTTTTCACCTGAAAACGGGATCAGATTCCAGATCCCGAAACGTTGTGTATTGTTTTTTACATTCGTGATGGAAAATGTCCGCAATAAACCTTTGAACAACATTATGCGCCTAATGGTTACAGAGAAAATTCCAAAAAAATTTTAATTAAAAATTCCCATGTTATTCTTATGGAGAATAAGTCAACTGTTGTAGTTTCCATGTTTATGAACATATTTTGATCAAATTTGGAAAATACATTCATTTCTTACTAAACTACAGTATTACAATTTGACAACAAAAAACATTTTTTTCATCCTCCCTGTTGCAGCAAACCTAAGTACTCGTTAAACTAATTATATTTAAATCTTACTAATATTATAAATGTGAAAGTTTGTGTGTTTATTTGTTTGTTTATTTGTTTGTTTGTTTGTTTGTTTGAAGTTCAATCACGCATTAAATACTGGTCGGATTGGGCTGAAATTTTGTATGATGATAGCTCACGTTCCCGATTAACATTTAGACATATTCTTATCTCAAAACCCCTTTAGGGTTCTGCCCTAGTGGCTCTGAAGTTTCCCATGTTAACCTTATGAGCATTCATATTTAAAAGGATTTAAAGACTTTAGTCAGCTGTTTCAACGACAAAAGTTGGTTCTATGATATTCAATAGCATTATAAAGTAATAAAGTTTACCAACAGGGTGCAGTATAGGCGAGTATAGGTTGCCACACGCCATTTTCCCGACTGCTCAAAAATGGCGGCCTACACTAAAAAAATTCTAAAAGTCTAAAATGTAAAAAGTTTATTTTTGCAGTCGAATGGCGAGTATAGGTCACCGGGCGCCATTTTCCCGACTGCTCTAGTGGCAAACTATACTCGGCAAAAAATAGGAAAAAAATTAGACCTCAAAGGTTTAAAACATGTATAAACATAAACAAGAGTTTTCTTTTTCTCCATAAGAATAACATGGGAATTTTAAACGTACAGTGTTTTGAAATTTTTCTGTAACCTTCAATTATACAATAATACTTCAGTATAAATTATTTCAGTAACTTATAAATTATTCAGTATAATTTATTCAGTATAAATTATAAAGTACTAGCTGCTGTGCCCGTGCTTCGCAACGGGAAGATGTTCTATTCCGCCTAATCCAAACACTTGTTAAGTAGATCGAATTTATAAACATACAGCTACCAAAGTTTTACAAAAAAGTTTGACCTACATTTTAACTGTCCAACTGTTAACATGAAAATATATCAACAACATAATTTTCATAACTTACGGTTATAGAATCTTTCTTTGTTTCCATAATCAATGACATAAACCTACCACATATTTGTGCAAAATATTTTTTTGGATCAGCTGTTTTAAATTGTGAAATAAGCATTTAGCAGTTCTGACTGTTTACATTGAAATGTCAAAGCAAAGGTAAACAAAGTTTGTGAACTTTCTCTTGCTTCCATGGAGACTAATTAAAATTTACTTTTGAAAACCTCTCCTCAAAACTTTGGACATGCAAGGGGCGTAGCCCGAGAGGAACTCAGGGAAGTGAATAGTCCTATGACATTCCTAGATATGAGGACAATGTTTGGGCTGCACTTTACTTTAGGTCCTACACAAACAACCGAATGAAAATATCGACTATTCGATTGTTTCATTCGATATAGGCTATCGTTTGGTTAGTTAGGTTAGGTTAACCTTACCTAACTAACCAAACGATATATCAAACAATCGATATATCGATTGATATTTTCGTTTAAATGAGTGTAGGACCTAAAGTAAAGTGCAGCCCAATGTTTGTACTAAATTTGGGCTGTATCGGTTTAGTATTTTAGTCGTGGCAGCCGGACTGACAGACACCATTTCAATTTTATAATAGTATATATAGATAGATGGAATATAGATAGATAGATACATAGATAGATATATAGATAGATTTTAGTATAAATTGTTTTTATTTTTTCTCTGAAAAATTGCCATAAAGTTATGGCACTTCTGACATAACCATTCAATGCTAAGAAGGCCTACTGTCGGGGAAAAAAGTTTAGACACTCGAGTTTGGTGCTCTACAGAAAAGTAACCAACTAACTTAGAAAAACACGTAGTATATGTAAATTTTCGTTGTTTTATTCTACGTATTCCTGTGAAAACAAAAAATTTTTAGCTCTTTTAGGAAATTTTTTATGACAGTCGGAAGGTAAAAACTGCCTGTTTTTAGAGTACCAAAAACCATCTTATGACTTTGAAAATTTGCACAATGTAAACTAAACGGCAGAACTTTATCAAACTTTAATACAATATCGACACATATATAATGAATTAATTTATGTAGTTTCAGAATTTTTACTCTACCCAAAAAGTTTTTGTTGTAACTTTTGTAAATCAACTTTTTCTCAAAAACGGCAAACGCTAGAAAAAAATTTAAAAGCTTGTTTTGGAGGTGATTGTTTTTGTATTAGAAATATTGATACTGCTCAACCAAATTGTTACGCATATTATTTATATAAGTTAACATTTAATTTGGATAGTGCAGAGGCCGAATACGGCACTTCCAGACCGCCACCGGTTCTGACTGGGCGCATACTCCGTACAGTGTTGCCAAATTGAACACCTGGACACTGAGCAGCGATGGGCTGCGAACTGTTGAGTCAAAACTGAACAGCAGTTATTATTAATTGTTAACCATTTCCCATCACCTTTTCTAATGAGGGCTTTGGACCTCCATCGTCACTCCCACACTTCTAAAAAAAAAAAACATATAGCACTGACAATCATTGCATATTCTGAATCTGACAATTTAGATTTAGCACCTATATTTAGGGTGGTAATACTTTCGACCCTTTGGAAGAATGTAAAACATGATATTTCATGTGAGTCAGTCAGTGACACACACTGCGTGAATCACCTTACGCTCGGTCAAGGTCCATCGTGACAACACTGCACTGGATTCCTGAGCGGGCGATGGCGTCTGCACCCCTTGCAGGCGCGAGATCATCCAGTTTTTTGTTAATTTATATAAATAACATGCGTAAGAGTTTGGATGAGCAGTATCGATATTTCAAATACAAAACCAATCACCTCCAAAACAAGCTTTTAATTTTTTTTCTAGCGTTTGCTGTTTTTGAGAAAAAGTTGATTTACAAAAGTTACAACAAAAACTTTTTGGGTAGAGTAAAAATTCTGAAATTACACAAATTAATTCATTACCATGTGTCCATATTGTATTAAAGTTTGATAAAGTTCTGCCGTTTAGTTTACATTGTGCGAATTTTCAAAGTCATAAGATGGTTTTTGGTACTCTAAAAACAGGCAGTTTTTACCTTCCGACTGTCATAAAAAATTTCCTAAAAGATCTAAAATTTTTTTGTTTTCACAGGAATACGTAGAATAAAACAACGAAAATTTATATATACTACGTGTTTTTCTAAGTTAGTTGGTTACTTTTCTGTAGAGCTCCAAACTCGAGTGTCTAAACTTTTTTCCCCGACAGTAGTAAGATATATTCTTGGTCATTTAGTACAGCTGGAGTAAGCTAAAACTTCACATAAGCCTGTTTTTATCACCAAACTTAATGTTGTCTTCATTAATTTTACCTGTTGAAATACTTGGAATGGCATTCCTCCGCAAAACTTTAAGAGGATGTTTTGTTGGTCCTATCATATCCAAACAAAATCCTACAGATGAACTGAGTATGGCCAGGATAGAGAGGATTATCAAAATATGCATCAGATTTGCAATATCAGGAGTGACACAGGCCAGAGCTAAAACAATCATAATTAAATTAGGTAATACAACTGAAAATAGCATGCTTACAAACACTACTTACTAGGCCTGATCAATTAACAAATGTCAAGTAAGCAAACACCAGGAATCGAAAATAAATTAGGAACAGTTATTTAAACTCAAATATTTATATGGGTAGTTGAGTAGTACGAAACAATTGAATGTACAGTTTGTTTCACAAGGGAAAACCAAGCAAAACGATGGGTGTGGCAATAGATGCTAGTACATGTGCAAAGACTTACAACAGAACAGCTGGAATGCTCAATTGGTAGCACATCACATCTTCCTAGTGCCGGGAAGGATGATACAGAATTCAATTCAATTCAAAGATACTTTATTCATAGATATACCAAAGTAAACATGAATGTCGTTCAGAACTATACATCATACATTACAAAATAGCTAGATAGAAACTATTTATATACAAACACAAACCAATATTTATTTAAATGAACTTAAAACGTTCTTCAAAACTGTATAGCACTTTGGTCACAAAATTTTTTCCCCCTTTCTAAACAATAATTGTTTAGATTATTGTTAGATTATTGTCAGACTCTTTTTAGATTTTATTATTTTGGGAAGGTAGTTTATATACAGTACCTCTTTAATCAGAACTCCCGTAATCCGAACGTCCACTAATCCGAACACCTCATTGCTGCACTCTATACACAGTACAGTAGTACTATATTGTATACTGTATTTAATGTACATTACTGTTTATTCACTATGTTTACTACTGTATTACAAAAATACTGTATTTTACTTTATAAAGCATTTTTTAACTTTTCCCGTGACAATTACAATCCATTTTAGCCACGTTTTGGCTATTGTTATGTAAAGACAACAATATGTTCTGTAATCCGAACTATTGAAGAGTACGAACTACCCCCAGTCCCGATTAGTTTGGATTAAAGAGGTTCTATTGTATACTATTTTATCCCAGAAACAATTGGATTTTTATTTAAAATAGTTTTTTTTAATATTAATTATTTTAAAATTTTTACGATTTCTTGTATTGTATTATATGTGTGCATGTTGTGTTGTCTTTGCAAAGTCTCTTCATTATTTTTTACATATAATACTGTTCTATAAATAAAGGCCAGACACCGTAATAATTCTCAGATTACAAAAAAGATCCCTACAATGAGCATCATCTTGAAGTTTAAGCATAGTCCTAAATGCAACTTTTTGAAAATCTATATACAGTAGAGTCCCGCAAACTCGGCGTAATGTGGACTGGAAGGGTGCCGATTTTGTGAAATGCCAGGTTATCGGGAACTAGGGTTAAAAATAAGGACAATACAATTTTTAAGCTTTTAACCCCCTTTTTTATTAATATTTATATTACAAGTCAGTATTAAGTCATCAGATATAGTACAACAAATCCTTGGTACGAGTTGTGAATGATTTGACTTGAGCTGGCTTGAGTCCATGGTTAACTCGGACTAAAAAAATCACTAATTTTCTGAGCCAGGTGATGGCCAAGTTATCCAGACTGCCGGGTTTGCGGGATTCTACTGTAATTTATACACTACATGAAACTTTGTCGGTTGAACTCCTCCGCCATTTCTTAACCGATTTTATCCATTGGCGTCTCATTGGAAAGAGCGTGTCGCGTAGATTTGCAAACTGGCCTTACATTTTTGAAAAAGTCCCTTGGGCTCTGCCAAGTTGGCAGAGAAAGCCAAGATGGCTTTGAAAGTTCCCATGCTGTCCTTATGAAGAACATAATTGTTTACATTTTGATCAGCTGTATAATTTAATTCTGTTATTTATTTTTCAATTCAACATAACGCATTGAGTACATTTACCGATTTTGTTGAAATTAAATATTTACTACGTTAATTTACAATGTAAAAAATCAAGAAAGCCTGGGCAATTTGATATATTTTACCTCCTATATAATGAAGAACACCTAGAATATGAGGATTCCCACAAGCAATGAACAAGGATGTTAGCCGAAGTGTTACTATTTTGTAGGAAACACAAACACGGACTTAACTTTATGATAATTGGCATAAGAAAACACTCTAAGGCTAAATTAAACTGGTACGGCAAGGACATTAAATATATGTTTTCATAAAAGTCATGTGATTTTAAAATAATATGACTACATCCAAGAAACCTTAATAAAACTTTCATTGAAGGATTTGCATTATTCACATTTAAGGGAAACAAAAAAACTATCGGAACAACATTAGGCCTTTCAGTTCTGCATTTTTTCAGGTAAATATAACCATTGAGTATACACGTATATACAGGGTGGCGCAAATGGATTGGGTGGTTTTGAAGTTTACTGTACGTCTGGGAGGGGGGAGCCAGGTGTTTGGCGGTCTTCGCCCTGTAGTGGGGGGACGGGAAGTTTCAGCCTTTCAGTTGCAGACTGGCAGTCAGTCGCGATGGCTACGTGGTCCATTGAGCATCGTGTTTTCGCAGTGGAAGAATTTATACGCAATAACGAGTCAATTGCTACTGTGACGCCGGCGTTTCAACATCCCACCTCGCAGTAGTATTCCTAAGCGAGATACGATATTGAGTTGGGTGCATAATTTCCGCACTACTGGTTCATGTGCTGCAAAATGGACGCCTAGACCTCGAACAGTAAGAACGCCTGAGAACGTGGAGCGTGTGAGACACGATGTCACTACGAGCCCAGGTCGATCAACGAGACGTCGTGCTCAAGCTCTTGGAATGTCACGTCGGAGCCTTAACAGGATTCTTAACAAAGAACTGAAATTCCACCCCTATAAAATCATGGTGGTGCAAAAGATTCTCCCAACAGACCATCTTCAAAGGCTTCAGTTTAGCCAACGGATTTTGGAGTTATTGGAAGATTAAAACCTGATTATCATGATGTCTGATGAGGCTCACTTTCACATTAATGGCTACGTCAACAATCAAAATTGCCGTTACTGGGCCGACACTAACCCAAGAGACCTACACCAACGGCCTCTCCATAGTGACACAAAGTGACAGTTTGGTGTGGGGTTTCTAAGGTAGGGATAATTGGGCCTTACTTTTTTTGAAAATGAAAGGGAGCAGGCGGTTACTGTTAATTCGCAGCGTTATGTGAACATGATTGACGAGTTTCTTCTCCCACAACTTGAAGTGGAAAATTACGACATGTACAATATGTGGTTCCAACAAGACGGGGCAACTGCACATAACGCTAGGATATCAATGCAAGCTGTACGCGCTTTGTTCCCTGGCCGTTTGATTTCCCGTAATGGAGATATCCATTGGCCCCCTCGCTCATCGGACCTCACGCTATGTGACTTTTTCTTATGGGACTATTTAAAAGCAAGGGTCTACATGACAAACCCCGGACCATTCAGGAGTTGAAGGCTGCAATTCACAACAAAATCACATCAATTCCTAGTGATGTGCTTGAGCGAGCAATGCGGAACCTCAAGGACTGACTCCAAGAATGCGTTGCTCGAGAAGGAAGGCATTTGATGGATGTAATTTTTAAAAACTAAGTTAACTAATTTTTTGTCAATAAACTTCCATTGTAACTACACGTTTTGCACTTTATTTCAATCCAATACCTTTAAAATTGACAGTTTGACAAGTATTTTAAAACCACCCGATCCATCTGCGCCACCCTGTAATTATATAACTTACGTTATAACAGTAACTAGCCAAATTATTGCCAATTGAAGCAAATACAATTGTGATAGAGAGGTTATGCAGAAAATCAGGCAGTTCTTAACCCTTTCAGTGCTAGGCCAATAATTCATATTTTGTAAGACTTTTTTGTTTGCCTTTTAATTCCATTACCCGTTGTTGAATTTTAACTGTCATGTTGTCACTATTTTATTAATTAGGCTAATTTTGAATAATAACACAATAAGAAAATATATAAGAAAGATAAATCCCGGTATTTGTAGTAAACATAAAATAAAACTTAGTTTTTGTTGTAATTTTCCTGGTTTTCCTAAAAATTTTTATGTTCTGATAGCATTATTTGAAACCGAAATCTTACAAAATCAAAAGACATATAGTTTACAATGTAATATTGAATTTAACCCTGATTTAGTTGGACGAGGTTATTGTAATATAGCAATTTTAGGGAAACTAATGTTTTGCAGCAAAGTCTCAGGAACACATTTACTACTACTAAAACTAAAAGATTGCATCTAAATAGTCCGTGACTAGCTGGTGCTGCTACCTAGTAACGCATTGAACAACCATCTGCAGCGCCATCTGTTCGCAATCGGTGGCGACAGCTTAAATACCGGGTTTTGACTCCCCAGTCTTCAAGCACAGATAGCCGAGAAGGCTAGGGCGTGTGTCACTTGGCCAGTGGCATTCGTCTGCTCGGGTTCGAATCCTGTCCTGTGTGGCAAATAATTGGTGACCTGTGTGTTTGTAGCGATATACTACAACCACTGGGGCATAGTGAGGTGTTCATAATCCTTGGTTTAGACATACACCTCGAAATCATCGGATTGGGCGAATCTTTTAGCTAAGTGGTTGGTAGTGTATCCTATGAACATGCAGGTCACCAATGGCCGTTTTGCAATTTTTTTTTTAAATAACCTTCCTCTCTATATCCCTTAGGGTTTTTTTTTTTAAACAATGATATATCGTTTCATAGCACTGAAAGGGTTAAGTAATATAAACAAAATGTTATCGCTATAAAAAAATGACTGAAATTTGTAAACGTACTGGTGACAATGGGTAGTACCATGCAGACTACATTATCATTGACGAAGATCAACATGGACAACCTAATGCGGCTATAAGTGGGAAATGTTTGTAGGTATACACTAAAAACCAGATCAGCTTTTGAAAAATGATAAAATATTTACAAGAAATGTTGATTATATGGAACTGTTAGGTAGGTAATCTATGAGTTGAGTCTTTTAAACTCACCGGAAATTAGGACTTTTATTAGTTTTTAAATAAGTTATTTGTTTTTAAATAACTACTTTACTTCTTTGCAGTTGCTCAATTTCGAGCAACATGTACACTA